CTGTCTTCCCAGCGCAGGCAGGGGCTCAGCCAGCCCAAGGAAAGCAGAGCTCCGTCACATGTAACAGGGACTTGGGAAGACAAACGCCATCACCCCGAACGTCCCCCCTTCTCCCCTCCAGCTCTATATGCAGAGTGTGACATCATTTGGGATGGAACATCCCTTTGGTCAGTTGGGGTCAGCTGTCCCAGCTGTCTCCCCTCCAAACCCATTGTGCTCCCCCACCTCCTTGCTGCTGGGGTGGATGAGGAGCAGCAAAGGCCTTGACGCTGTGTCAGCACTGCTCAGCAACAACTACAACACCCCTGTGTTATCAACTCTGTTCCCCGCACAAACCCAACCCAGAGCCCTACACCAGCTACTGGGAAGAAACTGAACTCTATGCCAGCCCAAACCAGCACACAAGCTCACCACCACACCAGCATGCCTGGCTGGAACTGCTGAGATGGCCCTAAGCCCTGCGCTAGAAGCCATCCTGTATTCCAAAGGGCTACCGTATCCCTTACATTTGGATCTGCCGTAAGCACAAAGTTAGCAACTGCTGTTTAATAATTTATTATCTTTTCCCATTGAATGGCACATTCACTCAAGACAAACAATTTTCTGGTAACTTTATTTACAGCCTGCAGAGTGTTCTGTGAGACACGGTAATGATTACAGACCAAAACACACAACTTACAAGTTCAAACATTTAAATAAGCACAGTTTATTCAAAAGTCATTCTACACACTACTCCTTCCATAAAAATATAAAAAATAGTTTAGTTACTCTATTTTACCTAACCCAAGATATTTAGGAGTTCTTCCACACCACACCCGCTCGCCAAAAAAGGGCACTCCAACGAGATTTAGGAGACTGCATCACAAACAAAAACACTGAGCCAACTGCTTCGATTCACCAAAAGAACAAGTAACCTGCAATTTGCAACCAGCAATAATTGTTCTGCAGTACGTTCCCACTTTCCTTTTGTTGGGTCTGGAGTTTTTTTTTTTTTTGCACTAACTTGCTTCTCCCACACCAGATTTGCACAGAAACGTACACACTATAACATGAAGATAATGATTTTCCTGCAGACTACAATGCTGGTCACCACGTGCCCACCAACAGAGACTGGTAATCTTGCATCATACAACTATTTTTTGCAAAAATACCAAAAGGGAAACGCTTTCCTTTGGGACCTCTACTGAAAGGTGACTCCTTCTGACTGAACATCCAGTGAAAATAGCCTCTTTCCTATGCCCTTGAAAATAGTGCCCATTTGCTACTATTTCTCTGGTTTTACTGACCGTATTCTCTATGGAAAGCTAACGGAGTTCTGAAAAACACCTACCCGAGCCCTTCTCTCGCTAGGATACATTTAATTTACAAAAAAAGGCACAAAGATGAAACTCCTAAGCAGCATCAGTTGTAGTTCTTCCACTGCGCAGCGCTCCTCTTTCTTACAGACTGCTGCGAGTGACGCTGTGTCTCAAAACACTACAAACGCGTGAACTAAGGGAACGGGCAAGATGCAAAGGCTGAAGCCTCTGTACTGTACAAGCAGCATACTGATCATTAACAAACGAACACTAGCTAAAGTCGTATGTTGCAGTTAAGACTTGACCTGGAAGCATCAGGAAAAGCCGTCAGGAATAAAAGCTCAGCAGCACAGAACACATCCGTCACCAGCAAGGTGGAAGGCCCTCTGTGTGCAACACTCTGCATTCGGCGTCAACAATGACAGTGCTCTGCAGCCAGCAGCGTGAAACTTTTGCCTCTAATAGCTCAGAGGGTTTTATAAATGTAAGTGAGGCTGTCAAACAGAGTAGTAGTAGCATCTGATGCACAGCATTATCTACCATAAAAAGCTTTTGCCTTCCAGCATGTAAACATCCAGGTTCCTGGACCTTAGCTCATATAAACAAATCTGATGATAGATTTTTGAACTAAAAAAAGTAAGATTTTCCATAAAAGGATAAACCACAAAAATACTCTTTCAGTAAGTCTCACGTGCCATTTAATACCTTTCATGTCCTACGAACAACTATGCAAAACATTTAGAAAGTCTGAGCAGTAGAAACATTGACCGTTTAACTGTCTGGCAACCTCGCGCTCAAAGGATCCTTGAAGAGCGCCACCATTCGTAAAACAACAGTTCTACACCGGTCCACACTATTTCTTCTTCTTCTTCTTTGGCGGCTCATCATCGGAGCTACTGTCTGTGCTGCTGCTGCTACTGCTGGAGGAGCTAGAATCTGACTCAAACTCCGAAGAAGAAGAACTACTCGAGGATGGAGAAGATGAGGAAGTAGAGGAGCTCTCATCACTGTCACTGTCATCATCGGAAGACGAGGTAGAAGAATCTTCACTGTCAGATGAGGAATCGCTAGCCGAACTGTCACTGCTACTGCTGCTGGAACTGGTCACGCTCTTAGATCTGAGGGAGAACAAAGCCACAGATAAGAGCAGGCCTGCTAGCGACAGCGTTCATTACGCTGTTCTTTGTACCGTGCTGTAAACCAAAGATCAATTATTTGGTCTGAAAACTTCCAGGCCTGCAGTCTCAATACTAATTCCCATCCCTGTCCGTCCCCTTTCCAACTCTGAACGAATACATTCTGGCCATCTGAGCCACGGCACTGACACCAGGCACATGAGGCAAGACAAAACATGCCTAAAAAAGAGGTTAAGCTTGAAAGCCGGAGGGATCTTGCTCATAGTAAGAAAAAGCATCTTGACTGGGCTAAATAAAAGAACAGGGCTGCAGGAGAAGCACGAGTGTCCTGCACTCCTCAAGCCTTGGGGAAAAATTAACAAAGATTGGCACGCAGTGAAATTTTGGCAGTGCAAGAGTCACTGGAAGTTTCATCAGTGATTGCACAAATGTTACAACTGTACTCAGTGGAAATTGTTCTTAGATTACTCCTGGCAAAAGAATCCAGATTACCTGCCACTACAGGCTACTTATGTTTAAAGGGTGGAGGAAAAGGGGTGGAAACAGTCCAAGATAAAGACAGAATTATGAACACAGCAAAGTGGATTTTTGTATCTCTGGGTTTTTTTTTTCCTCCCCTCATTTCTAGCCCTTACTGTCATGCTCAAGATCGAGGTCTCTGATTAAGGCAACATGAATTCCAATTAATTAAATTCTCCAATAGATCTTTCTCCAAAGCGTACTAATTCACCCCCGCTGCCCTCCAAATCAGCCAAACAGCATGCAAAAATGCTAGCTACAATAATTTTCTAACAGAAAGAAGATTCTGCTTTAATGTAGTAGTTTTTATCAGAGGGTTTGGTTAAATACAACAACTCAGGAAATGCCAATGTTAAGGCTATTAGAGAAAGCGTAATGTTTTTTTACCCTATCAGCCATGGTCACATCAGCTGACACCTCTGGATGTGTGTATTAAGCTATGAACCACTGAAGTTTTTAAAATACATCTGCAATCTGTTATCTCTGTGCATGCAGACACAATGGCTATTTATAGACACCTCCATAAGGGCTGGTTAAATACAGACTTAAGATGAGTTTTTCACCAACCAGGAGGAGAGCAAAAAGAAAATGGAACAAGTAGGTTAAACGGTTTCATTAGATGTGCAGACCCATTTATGTGGATGAGAATCAGTCAGAGGATCCCCTGCATTGCTCTGACTGAAATTTCTTCTCCTAATCACCCTCCACAGAAGCAGTATTTATATTTATATTTAGACATCTAATATTTAGGTTGTAATCTAAAAACGACTCACAGAACCATCAGAATATAACTCTTCACACCACTGCTCCTAGAGGCAAGCAATAGCTAGATCTAGAGAGGAGAGTCAAGCTCGTTTTCAGGCGAGGCAATACGCGGTAGGTCGAGGAGGATGGGAGCAAGTAAAATTCACTGCTTCACCTTGTCCTAGTTAGGTCAAGTGACAACCCCGATGCTGTAGACTGGTAGAACTAAGATTTTGGGGTCTACTACCCCACTGTAAAAGGACAAAGTCTCTCTAGCAGAGAAACAGTCACCCTCCTCAAAAGAAGTGCACAAATGTTAACATCTTGCACAATTCCACACCAATTGTGGAACAACCGCCGTATTTTGTAACATCATGCTACCACCCTTCGCTGAGACTTTCTGTCCCAGTGCTATGTACATCATCCAACCACCCCGGGTGTTCAGGTGATCCTGAACACGCTACTTAAATCAAAGCTACCGTTTGGGGCACGATCGCAGCCTGGAGAAGCAAGTGACTTAAGACATGATTCTGCCCTTCAGGCAGGTGGATTTGTGTGGGATCCAAGCGTGAAGTGGGCTTTCAGTAACCCAAGTATGCCGTATGGGAACGCTGAAGCCAACACACACCCGGAAGACAGCTCTGTGTCACCTCAGGTCACAAGATCGTACAACAGCTGGTTTGCCTGTTCCTGTTTTTCTGGTTCAGCCTGTAGCTTACTTATTACTGTTTATAGCAAAACAAACACACTGTGTAAAAGGTTAGTGCTGCTACTGCCTTTTTATGTTTCATCTGGAACTTACATATTCAATGGTAACCCTTTGCTGCATTTTCTGCATTTCGTTCTTCCTGTATCATAACACAAATAGCAAACTCTCTGGAAAGGAATTTCTATTTATGGATTTGGTGCTTGCATTAAACCAGAGTAACAATTCAAACCTCAGAGGTTTAAGATTTGGGGGAAAAAGAAAAAAAACCACCAAACCAGATCCTCCCTCAAATCCTTCTGCTCTTTTCATTTTTGCATTGGTTTAGAGCTCAGATACTCTGGAAATCATTATGCCAAGTAGAAGACTGCAGCATATGAGGAAGCTGAGGCAGGAAGAGGTCTGAACTACATTATTTAGGAATCAGTTCATTTATGATCTCACTAGTCCTGAGTAACTCCAACAATAAATGGGTGAGAAAGGAGCCTTTGATACAGCATGTTCTGATAGTACAACTAAGATCCTCACCAAGAATCACTCCAACAAAGCCACATTCCACACGACAGCCTAAAGTAAAGGTGTTTGAAAAAACTGCTGTGGCTTATGGAATGAGCGCAGAAGGCCTAGTCTTTCCAAATCTTCCAAAAATCACTTTTAAAAGACCAGATTTAGACAGTGAACCAAATGCAAAGAGATAATGAGGCCATTACTGTACAGACAGCCCCACAAGTAAAACTCCGGGCATAGTCAGCAGGAGTACTGCAGCCAGGGCTCTAGCTGGTCCTGAAAGTGTTCTGCTAACAGAAACAGAAACACATTCCCAAGCAAACATTACTGCAAAGTAGAAAAAGTCGAGAGACAGTTTTTGGCTCAAATTAGTACTTGGGTGGGTGGGTAGGGGGTATTTCATTAATTTTGTTTTGATCTGGTAGTGGGGTGGGTTTTGGTTTGGGGTTTTATTTTTTTTAGATGCGTTATTTCTTTCTCTAGACAAATCTTCAGAGAGAGACAGCTGCTACAAAAAGGGAATGCAAACAACAAAAGGAGGAGCAGGATGTGTAGGTGGAGTGATCACAGACTAGAAAACAGTATGGCATTCTTGCACAACTGTTTGAAATATACTCAATGAACTTTGAGGCAGAAATAGGAAGATTTTTATTATTAAAAGCAAGATCATGTAAAGATAGGACAATCAGTGAGGAGAAAAGCAGAGGACAAAGAATTTAGAGGTTTTGGACAAGGAGGAGTAGAAATTCTCTAAATGTCTGTTACACAAGTGCCTGTAACAGGCTAAAGGCAGTAAAACTGCAACTGTACTTGCACCACTGAGTACCCCTCAGCCCTTCCAAACTGCCTGCTGCAGTACCCAGTGCAAGATCACCCACCGAAACCACTGCACAACGTCACCCTTCCCCACGTACCTTTTCTTCTTTGTCTTCTTTTCTGCAGTACTTTCTCCAGAGCTAGTTAAGGGAGGGAAAAACAATGGCTTTGATTAATGCCGTGGGAGAATTAAATAAATAGCAGCCCAGTGAAGCAGAGTTTAGTATTAGAAAACCGGTACCCCAGCAGCAGAGCTGCACCACCCAAAGTTCATTTGGCATCTACTTTCAGTCACAATTCAAACCAGAAAAACAGTAATACCTACAAATCAGGAAAGGGAAAATAAAAAAAGCAGCAATTCACTCGCTCTGTTAAGCGTGCTCTTCTTTACTCTTCATATTATACACTTTGGGAGGGGAAAGGCATAGGAGAAAAGGATGCACAAGTGTTCTGTATCACCATATTTAGCAATAACTGAATTGATTGGAACAAAGGGTAAAACACAGCACTAGTCTGTAGCTTTCACCATGCATTTCTTGCAAGTGAAGAAAAAGCAATCTGTTCATATTGATTTCCAGTGATTTGTCTTTCAGGATCCCATGTATCCATATCCTCACAGAAAGTTTTAGTGGCAATGACACAGGAGAAAGTTTCTTTTAACAAAACTCTAAGGGATTTCTCTTTTTTTTTTAAAGAAAATGGAACTTTCAGAGAATGTACCAGTCACATGCTCTTCTCAATGCACTGCAGATATGCAGCACGTAATTCAACCTGGAATGTACGTGTGTAATGGTTAAAGCAGTCCCCCACCATACACTTACAACATGCTTAATGAGCCACTGACAGATGAGGGAGTTGCACATTCTGTCATGAACCACAACACTTTTTCCTCAACTGAAAGCTACTATTGGAAGCCATCTTAAACACACAGAAATGAAAGTGAAAACTGCAAATACAGTTCATTTAGAAATCAGACAGCAGTATGTGTTGATAAAGACTCCAGAAAAGGGTTAAAGGAAGAAAGCATTAGGTGTAACCTCTGCTGTATACCAATGAATGCACTCCAGGCCATTTGTATGTCAGAAAAATGAGGGGTTTTGGTACTTTCACATGTACAGTGTGAAAATATTATAATTACACAGAAGAGCTTTCCACACTCCCCACAAACTCCTGTGGACAAGAGGAAGATTGATCGATTTTCACATTTTGAACCCAATTACAATCCCTCCTGTATTGCTGAATGTAGTTAATATTTCTCTTGTTGAGGCCTTACGCCCTTACTGAGGTAACCAGGCGTTTCAGGGGTAAGAGAAGCCACTGCCAGTAAACAGAATGAGATCCCATAGCACCTTTCAGAAGAAGCACCTAATTCAGCATGCGAGGAACCCGGACTACCCTGGCACAGGTCTATGCCTCCCCCTAGTGTTTAATGTATGGGTAGGTATAGGGGCTCAGCACCCTATGGAACCGCAGAGCTGCCAGGGGTCAATCCCCTGCGGAGCATGCAGAGCTCATTCCTGACCCTTGGTAGTTTCTCCTGTGGCACACGCTGTCTACAGAACTGTAAATTAAGACTCGGACACTGCAGTTTGATTCAATACAGTAACATCACTAAGGAATAAGCATTTTCTCACCTTTCCTCCCTTACCAACACCTATTCTAAGATGGGCAAGCAGTTTGTCCACCAGAATCGTGGTGTCAACACCAGGCAAATAGAAGGTTCCTGGAACAACTGCTGAAATGAGTTAATGCTGAAAAATCTTGCATGTCATTGTCAAAAAGTAAATATTAACCTTATTAGCCTATGTTTGCCTTCTGGTTAATGATTCATTACTAGATCTTTAAAGCTGATGATGCACATACTCTGAAGCAGACCCAACTTCTCTGCAGACAAGAAATGACCTTCCAGAACAAACTATGCAAAAAGTAGAAGTGTGACCAAGGCAGTTGTTCTTTGCGTGAAGAATAAGCTTCACTCTGGAAGGTGTAACACTGGCACCTATGGAGCTGATCTCTCATAGCACAGTTAAGGAGCTTCAGAGAGTTTAGGATTAGATAACCAGTATGAATCCAGCCCAATTTAACCAGGATTACAAACTGTTCCCATCTACGGATTAGTCTTCCTTTGACGAGATGACTTCACACCACATACCCCTCACACTGTTAGGCTTACAGCCCAAAAAACTCCATCCATGGCAGATATTGGACAGTCCTGGAACTCCTATATCAAATGATTAATGTGCAGGATTCAGTAGAAATCGGGCAGCAAAGAAACAAGGAAATTAGCTGAGTCTTAAACTCAGTTTTTACACTGAGACACTCATGAACAGGAATTTCATGGAAAACTGCTGGGCTACGTTATTTTTCCTTTGTCACCTGGAGTCTCTTGTTGAAACAATTACTAAACTTGGGGGAGGCACTAAAGGCCTCTCACAGAGCAAAGTGGGACAGGAATCGCATTACACAAACACGGAGTTTTGCTTAGATTTTTCTGTTTAGCCACAGGTACCTTTCACTTTCTCAGATGTCAAAAAGGGAAGTAATTACACAGTTCAGCAAGATATTTTTACTTTATGCCTGAAAGTTCAAACCACCTGGCAGTCCAGGTCTCATTCAACCATTTCAGCTCATAAGGAGCAACATGCAGGAGCTGTGCTGGCACAGATCCCTGTCCAGTAGGACCCTGACCATCAGGATTTAAGCACAGACTAACAACAAACGTAACCAGGAGTGAAAGTATTGCTGCTCTGTTATAAATACATTTGCAGTCTCCACACCAACCTGCTCATACTAGCACATCAACCCATGAAACCAAGTAAAGAAATTCAGGAAACAGTATTCCATCACCAAAAAAAGCTCCAACTATTTTAACTTCAGCTTAGTGCACTGGTTTATTTCAGGAATGACAAAGGAAGTTTCAAGTGTGTTTCAGCTGAGCAGGTGGTGATGAACAACACATGAATTTTGTGGGACCCGACTGTACATGTTCCACCTGACATACAAACGACCTTGATGCTGAACAAGCATCAGCAAGGGAAGATGACAGAAAATGCTCTAGGACACCGTCATTCCCACCCACATCCAAAATTACCTCTTCATTAATAAACCAAACATTTTCATTCTGCCAATCTTACCTTTGTTGCAGTAATAGTTGCTTCTCTTTCTCTTTAAGAATTTTCGCTAATTGAGCTGTCCTCGAAGGTCTGTGCAGGTATTTTCTCTTCCCTGTACATTCATACGTCCAATGTCCAAACTCTAAACATTTTTGACATCTTACATGCTGCTTGTTTGCCTCCCTACAAAAATGCAGAATTGCTTAAGTGACTGATCCCTAGTCTCATTTACCTAGTGAAAAAAATGCTGGTTTTTGTAATCACACAGATTCTTAACAGCGTATGTAGTTATGATTAAACCAGATATCCATGGGTGCTTCAGCTAATACATCTTAAATCAGGACAAGAACAGTAACAGAATTTAGGCAAACACATCTCTAGAAAAACTCTCGTATCAACTATTTATGAAAGAGAACAAAGACTTATCCTCTATTCCAGAGTTTCAGCTTAAGTCGTCTTCTGCTGAAGTAGCAAATAATGAAGTGCTGGTCAGCCTACCCTGCAGCCTCCTCTCACCCTTATATCCCATGACATCCCACCCCCTTCAGATATTGTAAACGTTTTCAGCATTTTGATAAACACTGCTCAAACCATTCTGTTAGTGAGCAAAGATTAATCCCATCAACAAAATCCCATTTTGATCAACCTAATTAGCACAGCTTTTAGTATTATAGGATAGAATTGCACAACAGATATTGGGAATGACTACACTGCATACAATTCGTTACTGTCCAGTACCTGCGCATGGTTCTACCTTGCTTCAGGTAACTGAAATTATGGGTTAGAGCACTGTTCATAAAAAGCAGGCAGCTTCATTTCCAAATCCTAGAGTTTAGCACAAGTTAACCAAAGTGCCAAATTCTCACAGCTAGCCTCCATAAACCAGAGATGATCTTAGCTGTAGCTTATTTGAATTTACTGAGATCCACTACAGGCTGACAGAAGTTTATCATAAGGTAAATCAGATTTGTGCAGTGTAAGTCAAGCAAGACCTCACCTACTACTCCGTACCATCTGAGGTGGTTAGGGAGCATTTTATGTGCACATTTCAGTCTTCATACTGTGGTAAGGCTCTTTCATCATTTTTAGAAGCCAGGTGAGGGAGAAAACTCACGTTTTCATATTCTAGCTCTTCGGTTTGCTGTTCTCTCACAGACACCCTCCTCCTTTACAAAAAAGGAAACCCTTACAACCCTCTCAAGTAACTCACTCAAGGTCAGCATCACAAATCAGTTTTAGAGCCAGGACTGAAATCAGGACTTTGTTGCTCCCACACAGCTCACTGCATCTCTGTAACTTATTTCCACCTTCTATTATTTTTTTCCCCAATACCGACACACTCATTTCTCAAGTCCAGCCCATCTGAGCTATCCAAAACTAACAGCTCTGGCTTTACTTGGAGGAGGCTCCTACACCGTTCATTTAGTATAGAGAGACCATAAAATGACAAACCAGTAGGGAGCATTTTTCTCTCAAAAATGAGAGCTGCTTTTCAAGGCAAGGTATGAAGCAGCTCCCTTCAACTCTAGCCATCACTTTTTGTGACAGCTCTACTTATCTTGAAGGGAATCTTGTTCTGAACATCCATTACTTTTTCAGTGCAAAGAGTACTGGGCTTCATAATCTACCCTCAGAAATACTAATGTAAATCAGCACTAGAAAACTCATTAAGCTTGCAACCTACACTGCACTGTTACCTCAGACTTGAGCAGGAAGCAGTACATCTAGGAATCAACAAAAAACCCACAGCATTTTTGAATGGTCCACTTTGTCTTGCCTTGGACTTTGGGCTCTGCCATGAGAAGTACCTATGGGCAGCGTGACCACACTTCCTCCCCTTCATCAATACAGGAACCCAAAAGAGTGAGTGAATGTTTCTAGCCCAGACCTGTCTCCACAGGTAAAGGATGGAAGTTTAACACAACAGTGACATAATTCAGTAATGCCAGGGGTTTAGTACTATCCACACGACCAGGGCAGACAATTCCATGCAAGCTAACATGGTAAGATCAAGGCCTAAAAGCAATACAAGTGATTACCAGGAAACCAGACCAAAATAGCTCAACAACTACAGACCTAGAAATACTGTATCAGCACTAACAGGTTTTAACACTAATGAAGAGCACAAGACTGAAATAAACTTTTAGCAGGGATAGCTTTTAACAGCCTAGAAGCAAAGGCTGGCTGATGTGTAATGCAGCCTATACCCACCAAGCACACAGAGCCGTAACAGGAGAGGTAAGAAACCACTCCTTGACTCATAACAAAACAGCAACTTTTGAGAACAAATATCCTGTGAAAAGTTTGAAACACCAAGTTACTTTTAATTGGAAAACAGGAAAGAAATTATACTGAACAATAAAAAAGGAAAGAGAACAAACACAGAAATCATCCACGTTCTATGTAACTCATGATCAGACAAAAACCCCTAACGCTCCAAATGTTGAAACATAAGGAATATTCCAAGGAATATTCCAAGGAATATTCCAAGGGAGGAAAAAACCAGAACAGGACAAACAAACAAAAAGCCAACACAAGTAACAGGTAAGAGTGGAACACAGGCATTTGCAGCACTTAAAAGTGCAAAAGTGTTGGCTTTTCCTCATTTCAGTGTTTGGCGATCAGATTCCGTCAATACTGAGAGAATTGCCCAAGTGCAATAGCCATGTCCAAATAAAGGCGGCTTGGTTCCCCTCCCTCTCCCCCACTTCTTTTATAGCTCTGTAGGAGATCATAACATGAACCTAGGACTTAGATTTTTAATGTGACTGTTTGAAGCCCACGACGACGGTGGGTAAACATCCGCGCTGCCAGACCCTAGGCACTTCACCCAGATCTCGGCGTGCCAGCACCCGCCTGGCAGCCTCTTCCCAAGACGCCGCTAACTGCCGTCAACACCAAAAGCGACAGCTTGAAGGTTTCCTCTGTTTTCCCCCAACCCTACTTCCCTTCCCATCGCTTCACCGCAGCGATGTCACTCGCGGGGCCACCCCAGCCGTAACTCGGAGAGGTTTCCTTTCGCACCAGCAGCACTCCGCCTACACGGAGCAAGGGGGGCCCTTGCCCTCAGAAAGCGCTCGGGCCCGGGGTCCCCACCCGCGGAGACACCCCTGGCCCTGCTCTTCCAGAGCCCGCAGCCGCCCGCCCGCAGCCC